GGCCCAAATTACCCTTCCCCCAATGACGTCATAATCGATGGCGGTGACGTCAACACTAATTCCTAACTCGATCCGGTAGCTATCGTACATCCTCTCGTCTGCATTATAGCTCGAGAAAACCATCTCCCCACTGGAAGCGTATATCAGAGTTATCGGGTGGGCAGCTAAATTGAAGAGGAGAGAGAGAGAGAGAGAGAGAGAGATAGAAGAAAGAATTACGTAAAATCAACAAACCTATAAATAAATTTCCTATATGTATAAATATATATATATATTTATTTATTTTTATATCAGTATATAAATCTATATAACGGTGTCTCTACAACGTCAATTCTTTGTTGGTTTAATGTGAATACTCTACGGTGATAATTAATATAAGGGCTATCCCAGGCTGAAATGTGAGAATATTTAGAATATTTCTATAATGAGGTTAAGCGGTTTGAGATGTAGAAGAATTTTTTTTTGCTTGATGACGAGAAATTTATTATTTTTTGGCGGGAATGTGAAAATTTGGCGGGAAAAATGACTCGAGACAACTCACAGTCGACGATGCATTCATCTTTATTTACTGGATGCTTTCTGTAGCCAGGATGGCACGAACATTCATAACTTCCTGTAGAAGAAATGAATGGATGAATGAATGAATGAATGAATGAATGGATGAGTGGATGTACAAGTAAGTAAACGAATAAACGAATAAGTGAAAGAAATAATGAAGGAATGAATGAATGAATGAATAAACAAACTAACAAAAAAATTTAACTAGTCTAACGGAGAGTATTTCATGTAAATAAATGAAAGACAGGACAGGAAATAATGTAATCATACACAAGTATACACACAACCAGACAAGCACACAAACAAACAAGACATCTACACAGACATCCAGACGTCTAGATAGATATACAGACGTCCTGCTGACAGACAGACAGACAGAGAGAGAGACATGACAAACCTGGAGTGTTAGTGCAAATCTGACTGCATCTGCCACGCGTCAGGCATTCATTTACTTCTGTACATGTTTTATTTAGATGTGTCATCATCATCATCATCATCATCATCCTTCTCACCATCAACACCACCACCAACAACAACAACGGACCCAGACAAGTTTTGTTATCCCTATCCAGCCTGTATCCATCTTGACAGAAGCATCTGGGCCCGCCAGGAGTGAGTTTGCACATGTAGTCGCAAGTGAAGTTGGCTTCAATGCAAGGGAGATCTATAATCAAGGTGATGGATGTCATCTATTTGTTGGATGATTGTCTGTATGTCTGTTAGTCTATCTATCTGTCTGTGTGTCATTTTATCTGTCTGTCTGTCCGTCTATCCATCACCACATCATCATCATAACCTTTCATCTGACAGACGGCGGGAACTTCGTCTTCATCCTCCACGCAATGCTTCCAACCGTCGCATATTTTAGCCGGCTCCAGGCAGACATCGTAATCAAAATAATCTGAACGACAGTGGAATCTCGTCGACCAATCACAGGCTGGTTGGCAATGTGGGGGGCGGAGTTATGAATAAATTATTCGATTTCCAGGTTGGAAAGAGAGGAGGGAGTGAGGAATAAAATGGCGAAGCATAATTTGTAAATAATTTATTTATACTACTCTCCCTCTCTCTCTCTCCCTCTCTCAACGGCACCAACAACATCATCAACAACAACAACAAAAAGAGCAACGACATGAACTACCGACCACTTCTGTAGCAGCCAGCCTCATCGCTGCCGTCACCACATTGGACGAGGCCGTCGCAGACCATCTCCTTGGGGATGCAGTTCTCCTTATCGTTGCATCTGCAATGTTTTGTTTTGTTGAAAAAAAAATCACACACAAACACAACGACAACGACGACACCAGCAACAAAACCTTTAACTAACAACGACAACAACAGCAGCAACCTAAATGAAGTAGCGCTATCGCATCTCTTGTGGCCAACGACATGCCCCTTGGGCTCTAGGCGATTCAACAGTAGCAGCGGACATAAGGCCTCATCCATTGAGTCGGAACAGTCTCTGTCACCTACGTATGCGTGTGTGTATGTGGGAATATGTGTGTATATGTGTGTGTATGTGGGAATATGTGTGTATATGTGGGAATATGTGTGTGTGTGTTTATGTGTGCGCGCGTGTACATGTCTCTCTTTATATCTCTCTATTTCTCTCTTTTTATTTCTCTCTCTCTCTCTCAATCTCTCTCTCTATTCCTTTATTGTTTCATCCATATGATATAACAACAACAACAACAACAACAACAACAACAACAATAACAACAACAATAATAATAACGATTAAAAAATAATAATAATAATAATAAACAGCCACCATCACATCTCCAGGAATCCGGCATACACATGCACTCCTTGAGGCAGAGGAAGGAACCATCGGGGCATATAACTTGTCGACCTCCCCTGATCATCATTATCATAATTTATTATTATTATTATCATAATTTATTATTATTATTATCATAATTTATTATTTATTATTATTGTTGTTGTTATACGTACCTGAAACATTCTTTCTTGGTGCAGTTATATTCGTCTGAGTGATCAGCGCAATCTATGGGACCTTGGCGATATATTTATTCATTCATTCATTCATTCATTCATTCATTCACTCAGTCATTCGTTCCTTCATTCACTAATTAATTCATTCATTCACTCACTCATTCATTTATTCATTCATTCACTCATTCATTCAATCATTACTGATTTTATTACCACCAATATAATTATATCATCATATTATCATCGTCACCAAATAACCAGAGTTTAAAAAAAACTTATTATTCATTCACTCATTCATTCATTCATTCATTCATTCATTCATTCATTCGATCACTCATTCATTCATTCATTCATTCATGCACTCATTCATTCATTTATTTATTCATTCATTCATTCATTCATTCATTCATTCATTCATTCACTCATTCATACATTCACTCATTCATCCAACCAGAATTTAAAAACGAAAAACTTACCATCGCATATCTGTGAGGGTTTTATACACTGGTAGACAAATTTATTGTGCGTATCTTGAACAGGGTAGGTACAAGGCAGTTTGTTTGGGGGACAGTGCGGTTTTACGGGACTGTAAACTGATTGTAAAGTTTTGTAATGTGGTACAAAAACTGCTGTGGTAATCGTGATTGTAATCGCGGTGTAAACTTTACAGTAAAGCGTAGCGATTGTAAATATAAAAGTGTAATCTATAATTATAAACGGTAAATAATGTGGTAAAGTGTAGCCATCGCTTTTCATTATAGTAAATTATGATAATTTATGGTAATTTATGATAATTTATGATAACTTATAGTAATTTATGATAATTTATGGAAATTTATGGTAATTTATGATAATTATGGCAATTTATGATAATTTATGGTAATTTATGATAATTTATGATAAACAACCGCAGTTTAATTCATCGTCGCCATCCTGGCAGTCCCTCGCGCCATCACATTTCAAATAGCTGGAGATGCACCACTTGCTCCTACCACACATCACCTCATCCTCTCTACACGTTTTGTTCGCGCCTGATGATGATGACCATGACGACGATGGTGGTAATGATGGTGATGTCGATGGTGGTAATGATGATGGTGGTAATGATGATGATAGTGATGTGGTCGATTGATAAAGATTGGTGACAACATCAACAAGACAGCATCAACAACAACAACAACATCAACAACAACAACAATAATAATAATAAAAAGAGCCAGCGGGTCCGACTAACAATGCTCAACCAGTTCATCCACACCGTCCGGACAGTTCTTTGTGCCGTCACAGAGGAAACTTTCCCTGATACATAGCCCGGTATCGTTTAGGGAGCAGGAAAATGGCCTCTCCGGACCGCATGGTCCTGAATAGGAACGTGCAGATTGTTTGATTGGAGTCAGCGATGTGCTGGTGTGAAAAAATTATATAACAACAACAACAACAACAACAACAACAACAACAACAACAACAACAACAACAACAACACAGCAACAACAACAAGAAGATCAACAGCACAGCAGTAGCAGACTTGTATGCAGATGATGGCAATCGACTTCATCCGATGCATCCTTACAATCCGGGCGACCATTGCAAAAGGATTCCTCATATATGCACTTCAGTTCATTGGGACAATTTCGCTCTCC